AAAATACCAAACTCATTTAATAAAATATAAAAATATTTTGAAACAATTAAAAAAGTTAACATCAGTTGCACCGATCGGGATTCGAACCACAACTTCTCGATCGAGCGTCATGCAGCTAACACACTAGGCCACCCCACTCCTGCTAGTGGCGCAGGCAAAACTCAAATAGATTCACTGCTGCAGCGCCACCTACCAAAACTAAACGAAACTAACAGCTGATGTGATTCAACGAATGTTTCTAGAAGTTTGAATGTATGTGTGCACACGCATACGATGCTGTTGTAGCTGCTGCACGTGCGTTTGTTAATTGGCCAAATATTTGATGATTTTTAATTAATTTTTGACTGAGCGGAATTCAATGAAACTTTCAGCATATGATCTACATATTATATTGAATATTTGAGAAATTTAAAAAAATTAAAAATCATTCACAATTAGCTATAGTGGCATCTGACTTGAACTTGAATGTTTTTACTCGATAAAAACATAACGGGATGATTTATCGAATTTTAAAAGCAAACTCGACGTCCGCGCTGTATATACGGTCATTTAAAAAAAAAAATTTAAGTCTCTAGCTCTTATATCTTCTGAAATCGACGCGTTCAAACATACGGACAGACGGACAGACGGACAGGGCCAAATCGACTCAGCTCGTCGCCCTGATCAAGAATATATGTACTTTGTGGGGTCTGCTACGCCTCCTTCTGCCTGTTACATACATTTCAACAAAACCATTATACCCTGATTTCCCATTGAAAATGGGTTCAGGGTATAACAACGAAACCGCTCCCACTAGTGCAACATGTTCCGTCCAACATGTTGGCCCCGCTGTTGCCGTCTAAATTGTTTTTCCTAACTATACAATTACAGCTCGACTGACAAACAAGTTTGTTTGGTCTCTTGTTCACTTGTATACAGTGCTGCCAACTTTTCCGGGCAAGAAAATGCTAAATTAACCCTTCAAACCTGCTAGAAAAGGCTAGATCAAATTCAAGAATGGCCAGAAATATAGCCATTTAAGTTTTCATACCCTAAACCCATTGAAAATGCCAAATCAGGGTATAAAAGTATATATATTCTTGATCAGGGCGACGAGTTGAGTCGAATTAGGCCCGTCTGTCTGTCCGTATGTATGAAGATATAAGAGCTAGAGACTTGATTTTTTTGGAATGTCCATAAAAAAAAGTCCAAGAAAAGTTATTAAACAGTTAAGTTCCTATAGTAGGCACACACTGCAGCAAATGCTTCTTTATCCGTGCGTGCATATGTGTGAATGTGTTGTTTCTTGTGTAAAGAGAAAGACGCGAAGAAATATTGAAATATCAGTTGGTCGAAGGCTTCAGTGGATCTCGTACTCGAGTGGTCTCGACTAGAGATTTCTTACTTGTTATGAATTATAGTTTTATTCGAAAATTGACACACGATTATGGAGCTCAATAAAATCAATTTTCTCCTCGGCAGTGTACGAATTGTTTGTCCCAATAATATTCAAGTACTTTAGAGGCACTTTAAATAATGCTGATTTGATTTTGAAAAAATTCCAAATTTCCCGCCAGCAGCTAGATTACAATTTTTCCTGCAATTGGCAGTTGAAAAAGGCCAGATCTGGCCGGTAGCGCTATGGGCAAAAATACCGATAGTGCGGCATTAACTGTAAATTTAAAGATAGAGCCTTGAAATTTTGCGCACACGTTAGTAATATTAATAAAAATAATACAATGCGTGTTTATGCGTGCGTGCGTATGGCTATGGCTATGTGTGGGCGTGTGTCTGTGCATCTGCGAATAATTATTGAAATATCAGTTGCTCGAAGGGTTCAGGGAATCTCGTAGTCGAGCAGTCTCGACTAGAGCTTTCTTACTTGTTAAAGGAGAATTCGCTCCAAAGTGCCGAAAACCTGGGTCTAGAAGCGCGATCCCCATATTATCAGGCTAATGGCTCAAAACATGAACCGTCCAGTCCTGGTTGATCTGGAACTGTCCAAATGTGGTCAATCCACTAGCCCAATGGTCAATCCACTAGCCCAATGGTCATACCTAAACGTTATAGAAAATTTGTGAGTAAAATTGGGTGTGTCCATAATTGAGTGCCATACGTTAAGACGGGTTTGTTCTTAACGCTGAGTTGCGACTTACGACCAAGTAGCCAATGCATTTTGCAGACTTTCAGATTTAGGTATGCTAGGTATGACAGTTGCAGTTGCAACAGCAGGGTCGAGCGAACAGGCAACACAAGCTGTGTCATCTGCGTAGGTGGTGATAGGGAGCATGCATCATCTAGTTGGGCGAGATAAATAGTGTGTTGAGTATTAGGTAAAATACGCTGTATTGCGGGACTCTAGCTTGAATTCTACCAATATCCGAGAAAGAATTGTCATATTTACGTAGAAGCGCCGATTACTTAGATACGACCTCAATAGGCAGGGAGGAAGGATATCCATTTGGCAGGGATCGAAAAAAAATAAATGTGCCCTCAGATGGCACACGAATTCGCAGGCGATTTTCTCGCTTGCTCTCAGTAGCATTCCATAAATTGTGCTCAATACTGTTGGGGTCGGCATTGCGCAAGAAGTCAGCAATCGCCTCGTTGCTGGCTTCAAAGCATAGTGTAAGTGATGTCTTAACACACTCGATTTAAGGCTGTATTATCCCTAGGGTTGCGACTGTTCTGTCAGACTTTGCGTAGTCGTTGTAGATGGACTGACCCAAGGAGTGTGCAGACAAGCACGGCATAAGTGCGAGCCCACTACGTGCTCTTTGCATTAAGGTCACCGCCAACAAAGAATCTTAGGCCCAATTTAGTGAATACTTGCTGAATACTTGCATCCCCACCGTAGCTCTATGCCTAGGAGTCGCGTATGAGGCGGCTATGACAATGTTTCCGATAGTTGTATCAATTTGTACAGTCGCAGTTTGCCCCCATTCAAATAGAAGATTTGACTAAAATTCCTGTTCCTCCACGAGTTTTATTACTAGGATGGTTGACGTACACAAAATCGTATCCGCTGACTTCGAAATAAGACAAACTTGTAATCATCACCTGCGTCATCTGCATTAGTTGATCCTACATAAGCTTGATTAATTGTTCAAGCTGACCTGAGTTTGTGATTTGTGAAGTTAATTTCGTCACATTAGAGGTGGTTGATAGTTTCTCCATCCGGCACACTCATGGTGCCAGCTAGAGGAGTCGCAGGATTTGACTTGTTCTTTGTTTTTAAAAAATTGTTTGTCACCAAACTGCCGTTATGTTGGCACGACAAGAATTGATGATTAAACCGTCTGCGGACACGTCGGCTTGCATTGAAAGTGCATAGATGACTGCTGAGAATTGCATTAGCATTGCCTTTTTCATTTCTTACTTATAATTTGCATGTAGCATCTATCACAGCTCTGTGTTATTATTATTATTATTATTTTTTTTTTTATTAATGCCATACGAGGTAGTCCAATAATACCTATGTGAGCTTATTGTCTATTAATTCCGCCCATTTGGGCGCGCCGGCAAACTTACGTTAACTGTCGCAATTAAAGATATTTACAAATATTTGTAAACACAACACAATACAATAAGAACATACTGATTGCAGCTGTACGTCAACTTCTGTTAACCGTCATACGGCGCGATCGGAGAATCAGGTCCCTTGGTTGTCTTCTCTAGGAGTTCGGTATGTAATGAGAATGTTTGCTAGCCTGTTTCTGTGCCGGTCCAATCTGTCATTGTACCAACTCGAATCCTGGGTTATTGCATCAAAGAGAGTGGCGAGTTTCAGGTCTCTGTGCAATATGGCGTTTCTAACAAAGCACTCGCAGCCGGTACCCAATCTCATAATTTTATCAAAAGCCAGCCCCCTGATTTGGCCCCCATAACTCCATGTAATCGCCGCTACGTGCTTTGAGAAGGTGAGTCTGCGATCCAGTATCACTCCGAGATATTTGGCATAATTCGCCTGGATTTCCCCCAAGAGCATGGCTGGCAGCGTTATCCGCAACAGCGTATAGCAATCATTGGCCGATTTGCTGCTATTAATGGCAATGTTCCATCGCCTTGCCCAGTCCGCAAATTTTGTTGCATAATCTTGGATGCGGTTAGCTGCATCGTACTCACATCAGGACCTGTAGGTGATGCATACGACATCTGCGAAGGTTGCAAGCATTGAGGAACTATACAGGCTATCTGCGGCATATCTGTGTTATTAATGGGTAAGGCTGATTTGATTTCGCCGATATGCTCTCATTGATGTGAATAATTAATTAAAGCATTTGCCGGTTTTTATTACAACACATTTTTTTGAGAAAACTTCAGCTCTCAGCTCAGAATAAAATAATCTGTAGCTTCCAAAGAAACATGTTGGGAATATGTTGGTATAATGTTACAATCCAATCTTAGCTCTTCTGGTTGCTTTTTGTTATTGTTGTTATTGCGTTATTGTTGTTTTTCCATTAACACAACATTTCTTACGTAACAGCACAAAGTCAAACAGGACGGGGCCATGCCAAATTGGGTCAACATATAGGCGAAGCGTCAACTGGATCAACACAGCGGCGCAACAGACTCTAAATAAATAATATATATAGTACCGCTGCCATCAGTAGGAAAAACAACTGAACTCAACTCGAGGCATGTGAAACTAACTCTTAGCGGCTGCATTAAAGGGATACTCAACAGCCGAATGGGTGCTTGGGATGCTGGCTTGAGCGGACTGCCAGCCAAATCCAAATGCATAAAGCTAGAAGTTGCTACAGAGGGAGACGGAGGCGAAGCACCGAAAACCAGCGTCAGAGGTGAGGATGTGCCGAAAGTTACAAGAAACGAAACAGCTATAACAAAAAGCGCCCCAATCGTGGCTGCAACTGGATGCTGAGTTAGCCTATTCGAGTTGGCATTTGATTACAGTAAGAAGCACTCCAAAAGTGGCAAAAGAAGAGGACCTCGACGGGCAAACGCCAGAGAGGCAAATGCGTTCGAACAAGCACCTATGTATATCAAACACACACACACACTTGCAAAAAGGCTGCGCCGAAAGGTTCGCAAATTATATTCAACTTTTTCGTAAATAGTTCAGTCGAGCTCATTGTCTAAATCGCAGCCATGAGTGACGGCCTAGCAGTTCACAATCGCAACTAATGCTGGTATGGAGGGAAGGTGGGTGGTTAGAGCAATGCAGTAGACACCGTTTGTCAAGCATATCTAATTATAGCATAGTTAGCTATAGCTGGTTTTAACACAGCATGACATATCAAGTTTACAAGCAACAAGACGGAACACTCAAGTAGAAAAGCATTTGCACGACTCATGACCATTCAAGTTACTCAAAAGACACACGAGAGAAATAATTAGAGGGTCAAAATATACATATTTCGTAAGGCACAGACAAGATTCATTGATTGAATGGATCGCTAAACTTTTGCGAGTTTCTGGGACTTGGTGAACAAGCGAACTGGTGCCGGAAAGACAACGACCTTGCCGCGGTTCTTCTGTATTAAAACCTCATAGTGATAGCCGCCCATGAGTAGTGAATGAGCTTCCTGGTCCTTGTACTTCTCGGCAATGGGCAACAAGCTAACTCTTGCGCAGTTGATGTAAATAACTGGTACGGAAAGAATCAGGGCCATCTCGTAGGCAGTTGCCGTTTTCGGGCACCAGATGGAGGCGCTGTCAAATGGCAGCTTCTCCTTGGCAGCCAACTCTCTCAGCTCTTGCGTGTGGCGGAATGTATGCAGGGTAACCACAGTGCTGGGATGATTGACGCTGAAGTAGCTTTGATTGAAGTCGCATACGACAATCGGCGAACCCTCCACCATACTGTATTTGAAGCCAATGTCATCAGGCTTCATCATGGCAATCAGCTCGGCGCTAAGGCACTCAGCACGAAGCAGCGCCTTGGCATAAAAATCATGGCCCTTCACCTGACGATGCATCACAGTCATCCGATTACGCACCTTCTCGATCAGCTCTTCCCGCATCGTTTCGTGCACAAATACAGCCCCAATAAGCTTCCTGCCAATAGGCTCGTACAACGTTTGCAAAAGCGGAACAATTGCTTCATCAATATTCCCATCCTGACACAAGACGATCATACATGGCTCTACCCATTGGGAGTCGCTTTGATCCCCCGGATATGGTGGCTGGCGCCAAGAATAAGCTTGCCCAGCCATAAAAAAGTCCTGTTTTCAATGATTAAACCGCAAAGGAATAAAATAGCGTACAACTTTCAACAGATTTTGATCTTCTATTGAGTTTCACTGGGATAAAAATATAGTGTATTTAATTTGAAAGCTAAATGAAGTATTAAGCATAACCTGATTGACAGCATTCAATCGCTCTATAAAAGCCAACTTAATTGAAAAGATCTATTAAGGGGGCTATCCACAGACGAATATTTGTTACACGAACATGTTGTGTTCGTCAAATATACGAATGTGGATAGGAGTGTTCGTACGAACATTTTGTTCCCCGTTTGTGTTCGCAGCAAAATAGAAATGTTTCTATCTTACGGGTGTTCGTGCGAACGTGTTCGAAAATGGATTCGAGTGTTCGCACGAACATCATTTCTAGGCCAAAATGAACCGAAAATTTCTTGATTGTTTTCAAAATGAGCAGGCTATGAAAATAAAAAGTTGCACAACAAATCATGGGACGAATTATAATTAAAATAAAAAGTTTCGTTAAAGCAAAAGTAAATTGTCTGAACGCTTCATACAGGCGGGAACTGAAAAAAAAGAAGCGCAAAGTTAGGCGCTTTCTCTTGTTTAAAAAAAAACTTTCATTGCAATTAAGTTCGATTTTGTTTTCTTCCGCTGGCATGTTCACAGTCCAAAATTTGTTTTAAAATGATGTTCGCGAACATGTTCGTGAAAATGTTCGCAAGGTTAGCAGGCAAACTCGGCGAGCATGTTCGTGTAACAAATTCGTCTGTAGTTAGCCCCCTTTAGCAAGGAGTGAAATCCATATATAGTCACTGAATTTTCTGATAGCGTACAGCTATCAATAAATATTTATTTACTATTTTCAAATAATAGATCAAATATAAAAGCACCTAATAGCCTCGAACGCAATTATGCGTAATACATATCTTAGCTATGCACATATGAGATTATCCTATTAACAAAGTCTCTCAAATGAAACTTGGCAATCATGCCCATAACCCTATTGCATTCTAAACCAAAGCTTTGTGCTATGAGTGAGTATATGAGGGCTGCTTGACTGGCTGGTAATCTGGTTGGGCTAATCCATAACTACCACTTGATGGTGTTGAACGAATACACTTTACTATGATATTGTTTAGTTACGTATTGATCTTTATATATATATATTTATTTATAACGGTTAACTATAATTAAAACAAGTAAGAAGACTCTAGTCGATACTGCTCGACTAGGAAATACGCTGAACCCTCTAATCTGATATTCTAATCACTCTTCACTTCTTTTCGGCACACATACATACACACGCTCGTATTAAAAGGGGCTCTGCTAATTGCGCAGTAAGCAGCAACTGCGCTTGGGCTGCGCTGCAGTGAGGGCAACATTATAAGAATTTATTTGTTAAATAATGTAATTTCTAGACGTACAATCTTAATGAGAGCGTAATCATATGGTAAAAATGTATGTACATTCCAAAGCACAAGTCTCTAGTACTTGAAATACGCCTTTTACAAAGGTGAGGGTCAAGGGGTGAATATAGGGTAAATTTTGATAAAAACCGAAATTGTATAAAATACATATAAGTATACATATAAAAATGGGAGACTCTAGCTCTAAAGGTGTAGGAGATATAATTAAATAACTAGCCTTCGATAAGGCTTTTAATCGATAATAAAATATCGGGAATAGTTATCGATATTTAGAGAAAAACTCGATATGCGCGTGATATACACGGACCTAGGAAAAAAATTTCAAATTTTCAATTTCTCTAGCTCTTATATCTTATGAGATCGACGCATTCATACATACGGACGGACGGACAGACGGACAGACAAACGGACAGGTCCAAATCGACTTAGCTCGTCGCCCTGATCAAGAATATATATACTTTGTGGGGTCTGCCACACCTCCTTCTGCCTGTTACATACTTTTAACAAAACCATTATACCCTGATTTCCCATTGAAAATTGGTTCATGGTATAAAAAGCGAATTAGAGATATTGCTATCAAATATGGTTCTAATGATATTTTCTCTACCGTTTTTCCCAGGTGTCGACGCTATCGACTTGTTTCATGTTGTAATTCAAATACTTTCGGTAAGTACTTCACCATAACATACGATATATATATCTATCTATATATCTATAACTATATATCTATATCTATATCTATATATCTATATATTCTATATTATATATATATAAAAGAGAGTTGTGTAAAAGTGCTCCTCCACTTATAACTCGAGATCTGCTGGACCAATTTGCATGGTTTTTGATTTGTTGGATTTGTCTCCGCCACGAGTAGGATAGTAGATCTTAAAAATACTGAAAAAATTTGACGAATACTTGAAAAACGCGTTTTTTTTCCCTTAAGATTCAAATTTCCATTGATACTCAGTAGGCTTGATACTGTTACTGTCACTGTTGACAGTTTTCGGTCCTGCTCTCATATCATACAATAGTATTTGTTTGTCTCAAACATAAATTTGTGTAAATTATTTATATTTATATTTCTCGATTGTTTTATATGGTTTTGTGCGAGGGCATATTCAGTATTAGTATTAATAAAAATGCCGCGTCCTAGAAGATCTAATCTTTCCCGGCGGACCCATAATGCAATTAGGCAACGGAAAATCGCGAGTCAATTATCTGACGAAGAACAAGAAATCGCCCGAGAAGAGCGCCGCGTTAGTACCCAGCAAAGAAGGGCCTTAATTCGTGCTTATCAAAGAGAGGCAGCCCGTGAAACGGCAATAATAAATGGTTCAAAGATTGATTTGAATCGAGCAGCGTTTCGATATGTTTGCACCATTGACTACAGCTTGAATCGTTTAGTTTGCATTGGTCCAATAGACGTTGTTTGCCAGCATTGTGGCGTATTGATGTTTGCTGGTGAATCGCCCGGTTTGTGCTGCCTTAGTGGTAAAGTGACATTGCCATTAGTGGTCCCGCCACCAGAGCCAGATGAATTATTAAGCATATTGTTTGATGATTCGTGAAAATTCTAACAATTATTTATATTAATATTTTTTTGTATTATTGTATTACGTTCATAGAAGCCTAAATTAGTTCAGCTAAAAGGTAACACGACATTACTTTCTGATTTTAATACAAAAACTTGACAGCTCCGACATTAAAGAACTTTTAGGGAAAATAACGTATTTTTCAAGTATTCCTAAATTTTTCAGTATTTTTAAAATACATACTGCTATTCGGGGCGGAGACAAATCCAACAAATCAAAAACCATGAAAATTGGTGCAGCAGATCTCGAACTATAAGTTTTGTAACAAACTCGACTTTGTTTTATATATATAGAGACTGTTAGGCGGTACGAAGTTCGCCGGGACAACTAGTGATATTATAAAAGTGTTCGGGAGTTGGAGACAAAGTTAACAAGTAAGAAAGCTGTAGTCGAGACTACTCGACTATGAGATCCCCTAACCCCTTCGAGCAATAGGTATTTAAATAATTTTTCGCGTCTTTCTGCTGACACAAGACATACACAAACACGCACACTCACACACACACACACACACACATACGCACACACATAAACACACGCACACAAGCACACAAGCATCCACGCCTAAACACGCATGGGCTGCAGTGTGCGCTTACTATGAGAACTTAATTGTGTATTAACTTTTCTTGTGGATGGACTATCTTCATGAAACTCTCTATATGGTTATTATGATTATAACATGGATATGCATTTGCCAAAGCACAAGTCTCTAGAATTTGAAATACGTCTTTTACAAATATGTGGGTGAGGGGGTAGATATAGGGGTGGGTGGTAAATTTTAACAAAAACCGAAATTGTGAAAACTGCATATAAGTATACATTTAAAATTTGGAGACTCTAGCTTTAAAGGTGTAGGAAATTTAATTTTTTAACTGATAAGGTTTTTTTATCGATAAAAAAATAACAGGATGAGTTATCGATTTTTGGTGATAAGCTCGATATCCGCGCTGTATATACCGACATTTAAAAAAATATTTGAAGTCTTCAGCTCTTATATCTTCTGAAATCGACGCGCTCATACATACGGACAGACGGACGGAGACGGAGCTCGTCGCCCTGATCAAGAACGTGTATACTTTGTGTGCTGCCTTGAGTCATCCATAGAGGAGGTTACTAGTAACTTAACTATCCAAATTTGAAACTTTTAGCTATTATACTTTAGGAGATATAAACTTTTTGGGTTTGTCACACCCCCTGTGGGCGGACATCTATCCGTCAAAGCTTTTTGGTCTTGGGTGGTCAACCCAAGTATATATACAAAATTTAAGGTGTCTAGCATTAGAAGTATCCAAAATATAGAAGAATTACAAAATCACTATATCTTATCTATATAATTTTGTCATTAGACTTTATAGAATCATAACATTAGCTTACGTGCAAAATTTCAACGTTCTAGGTGTATAACTCTTTGAAATACAGATTTATCGAATTTACCACGCCCCCAATGGGCGGAGATATGTCCGCCATAGCTCGCGACCTTGGGTGGTGGACGCGGATCGCCATTCCAAATTTTAGCATTCTAGTTCTTCAACTAATATGATTTCTGGCATATCGGAAAATGCATTTTCCGATTCGCCTCGCCCCTAGTGGGCGGATCGGGAAAATTTTACCACTTTACAAATCAGATATACCCCAGTATGTGTTCTAAATTTCAAGTCTCTAGCTTCAACAGCGCCAAAGAAAATCGCGTTCATACGGACAGACGGACAAGAAGGACATTGCACAAAACCAATATACTAATTCACTTTCGTGAATGAGTATAATTATTGTCGCCTCTTGCCGGCTGGTTGGTATTAGTACATGTAACTATTTGGATATCCATCAGTGTTGCCAAATCTGCTTTTTTCCCGTCAAATCTGGCTTTTTTGAAAAGCCGATTGCGGGAAAAATTCCAAAACAGCGGACACCGGGAATTCTGGATTTTTTAAAGTATAATTTGCTTTATTTCCGCTTTTTTATTTATTGAAGAAATTTTCGTATTTTGTATAGATAATTCGTATGAAGAATGAAGTTTTCTTCATTGTAGTTAAATTAAAACCAAATAGTTCAGTAATTCAATTTTCAATGAACGAACCAAGCGCTAATAATATGGAACTAACTAAACTAGGATATGATTTATATTTAATTCAGAACAACCTATTGTGAACAACAATATCGAACTTTTTGATTCTATGTAAATGAAACGAAAAGATTACAAAATGTATGCAACTCTTTTGATAGCGTGTAGTACAAGAATTTATGTGTTGCCGACAAATTTTCAAATAGTAAAAAATGTCGATTCCTTTTCATGCATAAATATTTTTGGAGAACATTGATAGTATTGAACCCCAATATAAGAACATCCACCCAATTCAGTACGAAACTACTCAAGACGCTACAGAGTTTTGAGTTGAGAAGCGTGTTCTAAGGGTTTGATAGGATATAAGAAATTTAGGAACTTGGCCACTTTTGCATTGTTTTCTTTGCCAATGCCCAAGTGGGTAACATTTTTCGTCAGATCAATACTGCAATGCTTAACTCAATTTCAAGCATCCGGTGAAACATATATTATAAAACTTCACAGATACGGCTTGCGGTGTTTTAAGAAATGATGCCATGATTATAAGTTGTTAAAAATATATTTAAATATCAATCAAATCAAAGTAAAAAACATCAGCTTTTTTTCCGATTTTTTCACAAAATTTCGGCTTTTTTCAAAAGTATCTTCCCACTAAAAACAGCTTTTTTGGCTCAACAAAAATTGGCAACACTGGTATCCATATAGGCTACATTCATATTGCTTCACACACTTATTTTATTATTTAATTTAGAAAAAAATGTGGAGCTTTTTGGCCATTCAAATATTTTTTGATCGTTAATAAATCACACCACAATATTTAGAAAAAAAAAACTGTTAAAGCTCTCCAAAGCTTTTAACGGTACTTTTTTTTCTTAATAAACACACAAACATGTGTTTTTCGCGCGTGTATTTTGATCTGCTGCATGTAGGGTTTTGCAGAAATTTAAATAAAAAATCTATAAAAGCAATCCAGCTCAATATTTACTTACAGTTAAAATTCGTTTACAAATATGTAAATATGTAAAAAATGTATAATGTAACTTAAAAACAATGATAAGTGTCTTGAGACACTTTTGGGGCTCTAAGCAATTTTTTTTGCCAGCAGCTACGTCGCAACTGCTTGCAATTTTGTGTGTACATTTATTTATTCTATGGATTCTCTTACCAGAAAGGGGCATATTATAAAGATGGCAAACCGGGTTCGATTCAAGTTATCCGATTTAACTGATGAACAGTTATTAGAATTGTTTGAGACAGTCCCTTCCGATGAAGAAATGTCGGACATTGAGTCAAGTGACGACGACGAAGATCATCTAAATGTTGTAGAAACTCTTATGGCTGCTGTAGAGAATGTTAGCACAATATCATTTGCTTGCAATGATGAAGAAAATGTGCAAAATAATGACCAACAGCCTGAGCCTGTTAGGAAGTCCCTAAAAAGACCACGATCGCCACTACCAACTATTGGTATAGTAGGCGTGGCTTTGCCATCTTCTGGTGGCTTTACTGGTACTGGTAAGAAGGCAACATTGCGATATGTTATTATATATTATGTGATTAGCTAACTAATATCTTATAGGTATTGAATCAATAGCAAAGGAGCCGAGCAAAATTATGTGGCGTCAGAAATCTATGCAGTTGCATGTGAACAACGTTGCTTTTGAAGGCGACTCTTCGTTGCCGGTTGAAATAATGAAGCTCAAAACTACTTTTGAGATATTTTGTTATTTTTTCGATTCCAAAATCATGGGCATGATAGTCGAAGAAACCACACATACAGCTCTAGTGGAGAATATAACAAGATTCCAAATGAACATTGAAGATGTTCATCATTACATCGGAATTTTGATATATATGTCAATATATCGCTACCCGAGTATGAGAAGCTACTGGGGAAAAATGCCATTCGACCCATTGAATCCAGTATGAACCGCACAAAATTCGAAGCAATTAAACAGCACCTGTCATTACGCAATGAAAGCCAGTGTTTCAAAAAGGGTCAACCTGGCTTTGATCCATTGTTTCGCACTAGAAGATTTGTCGATTATCTTAATCAAAGATTTGACTCAGAGCCAAAACAACCACGCCTTTGTGTTGATAAACAAATGTGTAGCACAAAGATGAAACATCACTTACGACAATATATGCCCCATAAGCCACATAAATGGGGTATTAGCTGTTCGTTTTGTGTGATTCATATGGCTATGCATACCGATTCGAAATATATAGCGGAGCAGGCGATAATATTGTAATACCTGGTCACCCAAATGTTAGTGCTTTGGCCAACGTAGTAGTACGTTTGACCAAAACAGCACCACATCGTGTACTTCGACAATTGTTATACCTCTTTGCCTCTAATGGTATATTTGTGAGCAAAGGGCCTTTATAGCCTTGGCACAGTGCGTGCAAATCGAATGCCCAATTGCAAGCTACCTGACGATAAAATTATTAACAAAAAGCCCAGAGGTTTCTCGACTGAATTCGTAGGCCCGTCATACGGAATCGAAGTCAGTAATGTACTTTGGAAGGACAGCAGGGCCGTTCGCTTATTCTCAACTTATATAGGTGTTAAACAATTTGCTGCGGAAATTGTTTAAATGAAAGTCCACTTAAGACTGGCCGTTATGACAGGAAGACAAAGCAACATATAGAAATTGAGTGCCCGCAAATTATTCGGGAGTATAACGCGTCGATCTCATGGATGGACTTATGGGCCGTTATCACATCAAAGCTAAAACCAGAGATGCTGCAATTAGAATTTTTATCATTGTATTGATATGGCCGCAACAAATGCTTATATTCTTTATAGGCGAATCCAAAAACAAAACGGGATCAGTGACAAATTGATGCAACTTCCCGATTTTCGCGAGTCAATTGCTGAAGGATTGGTGGCGTTTAAAAATAAAAACCGGTCAGCACCCTATCTGAACATACAGTCACTATCTTTGCGAACAGACCGGTCACCTTTTTCCCAAACAAAACAATTAATTCAGACTCCACGGGCACGACCATCACAGCTTTGGCTTAAACTTGGAAAAAAAAACTTTACATCCAATAGCGGAATTACATTTTGACCAAGTCAACCACTTCCCGAGTTGATTGGATCGGGAAAGTAAAAGACGGTACAAGCTCTGTAAATCATCGCAAACTCAATGCATTTGTGAAAAATGTAATTTACATTTATGCTGCACTTAAACAAAAAATTGTTTCAAAATATACCATACGAATAAATAAATTTAACATTTCTATTCAATACTTTTTTTACGCTCAGATGCCCAAGAGTGCCTTGGGACACTTATTACCTTTTTTGCACCTGGCAGCTAAACGAAAACTTCTAGATTTTTTCTGATTTCATTTTTGAGTTTAGAAGCCTTTATTCACTTTAAAAAAATGTTCTTTTTATTTTCCTCCAATAGTTTAGAAAACAGCATTAGAGGGTGAAGTCAGGCCATAAGCAGGTGTCAGCGTTCACTAAACATGGCTCGCCTCATCTTGGCGTATTGGACATGTATTGTCCCTGGGTAACTACGACAGCGCATCAGCCACTGCTTGAGTCAATTTACTATACATGAATATAGGTCATAAATATACATATATATATTGCGAATTGGTGTATGTACCCGGTGTGGAGCCTCTGCATCCGCTCGATGCACGGCTGATTGAGCGTGTCGTACATCCGGACGTCCTTGCAACGACGCTTGACATTTTCCAGCTGTCCAAGAAGACCCGGATATGACGCCAGATGAAGCACCAGAGACCGAACTACGACGAGAGTCACCCACAGACGATTCTTGAATTACTTAAATCAGAAACCGAGGCATTCTCCACCCTATGGTCCAGTTCGTTTCTGTGTCAGGGATGTGCACTTTCATCATTACGCCGGCTTTCCGCCGTCTTTCCGCCGTAGCCATTCATTTCAGAAAATGCATTTTGTAAGCGTTGAATTGCCAACAGAACAGCAGCAACTGCGACAAGCTCTTCTGATTTTGTAAGCATCCAAAGTGTCCTTGGCCACCGATATTGCAAGTGTACGTCAGTCAATTGAACAATCAGCTAATAAATTACAAGACCAACAACTTTTGCAATGCTTTCTCGATCAAAACTGAATATGCTCAGAAGCGATAGATAGCAATTTATCAAAATTATAGCCCATATACATATTTTGGTAAACAAAAATCCGAATTAGTTACGGATTGATGGAAAAACTAATGTTAATACTTAGTCTTCGTCATTGAAACCACTAAATTTAATAAAAGGTCCTTTTCGAAACTTTGTCATTAATTTAGAATTTGCGTTTTAAGATATCCAACTGTCTACAATTTCCTCGTGACCAAAGCGCTTCAAATAGCTCCGAAAGCATCCATGGCCCGAGAGGATCTGCGAAAGATAGAAGTTAACCTCGCCGTGTTTGCGGTTAACCCATGGTTCGAGCTCCGGGATGAGCTCGTGCAATGCTGTTCGCCCTGATAGCGTTGTGTCGCACAGGCGCGTGCGAATTCCGCTCCACGGTTTCGGCGACCAGGTACTCCAGTGGCACCATGCCGGCTATGACAAGCGCGGCATCATCGGAGATAGTCCTGAAAGCGCAGCTGACCTTTATATCTGAAACCCTTTATATCTGCTACATCTTTAAAGCTAGAGTCTCCAAATTTTAAATGTATGCTTACATATATGCTTTTTATACAATTTCGGGTTTTGTCACAATTTAACCCCCCCCCCCTTAAATCCACCCCCTCACCCACATATTTGTAAAACACGTATTTCAAATATTAGAGACTTATGATTTGGCAAATGCATGCATATCTATCTTATCTGAAAGTGTCATGAAGAAAGTACATCCACAAGAAAAGTTATTAAACAATTAAGTTCCCTTAAAAATCCCACACTGCAGTGCATGCGTGGGTGCCTATGTGTGCGTCTGTGTGCATGTGTGAATAATTATTGAAATATCGGTTTCTCGAAGGGTTCAGGAATGGCAAAATAACCCAGTTGAATATGTCAGAAACCTGATCCAATCGATGGTTCGAGCAGTGAAAATATTGCACGACAAAGTCAGTGTGTGTGTGCTTGCCCGTCGCGAAATCATATTGTTTATGCGCATCAACGCTTTCATACCCTTCCCACGAATATCCATCGAAACGCTTACATTTTGTTTGCATGCGCGTGACAAACGCTTTTATGATTTAGGTATACCCTTCACTCAAAGAAAAGAGCTGGGATCGTCGCGAACAAATTTCAATTTTTGTGCGCTGCTGAGTTCGGTGATTTGAGAGACCATAGAGAGAGATAGAGAGAGAGAGAGAGAGAGTAGGACAAATAGCGCATTGCTGTGCTTCATATAAGAATGGGACCATTTCGCTTGAACGCTTGCAGCGCAAGCGCAATTTTCATATTTTTGGAGCGTCAGCGTCCAAAATTTACAGCTACGCTACTTATGGCTCGTTCCATTGATGTGTCTTCGTGGGGGCGTAGCGAATCGGAAAACAAATTTTTCTACAGCATTAAAGCTAGAAACTGAAAACTTAGCAAGTGAGCCAAAATGAATGGCTCACTGAACTGAGCCACTGAGCTTGTTCCTTCAAGATGGCTCGTTTTTACTCACTAGCTTGTTTTTGCTCACTCCTTCACTTTGTTTGCGATCATTATCGGCTCATGAGCTATCAGCAAGTGAGCCAGTGAGCTAAATGAGTGAGTTGGTTGGATTTCACAAAAAATATCGAGTGAGCCGGTTCACGTCAATGAGCTGTTTTACCCAAGTATAGTACAGAGAGAATCTGAGAAGTATCAAAAATATTTTGCGCCATGCATACGACTTACCCACGGTTCAATTTCCGGAATAGGTATATGCGTCTCTCGTCCTCTCGTCGAGCCATTGTGCAATATAGCTCCATCTGCTTGTGCTCCGTAGCCTCGTCCAAACTGTTAAGTATATACACTGGCTCACAACTTATTTCGTGCAGCGGTATAGTACAATTTTAAAGCCGTATTCCCGCTAAACCAGTAAAGATATCCCAAAAATTTAAATGGGGTTTTATTTATTAGTCATTCGATATGTATTAAGGTACTTCATTATTTTTCTATTCTAAAAAATAATATTCAAAACTAAAGAAAACTAAAATAACTGGCTTTTTCCATGCCACGGCTTATTTCGTGCACTTCATTTTCCATGACTATATTGCCCAAATATTCTTAAATTAATACTTGGGTTGACTTCCTTTTTGTTTAATCACCTCTTTTAAGCGTGATTCCATCCAGTTTAACAATTTTCGGGTGATTTCGCTGGAGATTTTTGGCCATTCTGCCAATAGGGCCGTTTTGAGGTCATTTCGCCCACAAATTTTCGATAACGGTTAGTTATGACCACTGGACTAGTGGATTGACCACATTTAGACAGTTCCAGATCAACCAAGACTGGACAATACCCGATTTATGTTCCTGGTCATTAGCCTGACAAAATCGGGATCACCCTTCTAGAACAAGTGTTCGGTACTTTGGACCGAACTCTCCTTTGAAAAGAATAGGTACATATACTTGTCCACATTACCATCTATGAAAACTAAGTTTCCATCTCCCGAAAACGTCATACAGGCCCAACCATGACAATGCCGCCGCCATAGTTGGTTTTAGGTGCTGATTGGTGCCAAACAGATAAGTCGAAATTTAATATATATATTTTTTTTTTTGAAAGTCAGGTCTGCCTAAAGCTGTGCCATAGATTGACTTGACTACGTTTATTTATTTACTATAATAATACTAGTTGTCCCGGCGAACTTCGTACCGCCTAACAGTCCCTATATATATAAAACAAAGTAGAGTTTGTTACAAAACTTATAATTCGAGATCTGCTGCACCAATTTTCATGGTTTTTGATTTGTTGGATTTGTCTCTGCCCCGAATTGGAAACAGGCATTGTATTTTTGAGTGTTCGCTAGAAAAGTAGGGAACGCAATGGCTCTGGTGGCGGGACCACTAATGGCAATGTCACTTTACCACTAAGGCAGCACAAACCGGGCGTTTCACCAGCAAACTTCAATGCGCCACAATGCTGGCAAACAACGTCCATTGGACCAATGCAAACTAAACGATTCAAGCTATAGTCAATGGTGCAATCATATCGAAACGCTTCTCGATTCAAATCAATCCTTGAACCATTTCTTATTGCCATTTCACGGTCTGCCTCTCTTTGAGAAGCACGAATTAAGGCCCTTCTTTGCTGGGTACTAACGCGGAGCCTTTCTCGGGCGATTTCTCGCTCTTCGTCAGATAATTGACTCGCGATATTCCGGGAAAGATTAGATCTTCTGGGACGCGGCATTTTTATTAATAGTAATACTGCCCTCGCACAAAACCATATAAAACAATCGAGAAATATAAATATAAATAATTTACACAAATTTATGTTTGAGACAAACAAATACCTGAACATTCGAGATATTTAGCTTTTGTACGCACGCGCACAATTATTATTTATAAAGTTTAAAAGTCCAAAAATATAAAAAGCCAAAAATACACTTTTTAATAATTAACTTCTTTTTTTTTAATTTCGAATTTTGAATTTTTTATTTATTTTTGATTAGTCAGGTTTTAATCTTTTGATTTTTTTTTAATTTTTGCAGATTTTTGATTTGAAATATTTTTCTTTTTGATTTGGAAAAAAATTTTTTTTTGTTTATTTTTATTTTTATTTTTTTTTGAATAGTCTTTTTTTTTTTTTTTTTGTTGAATAGTCAGGTCTGCTCGAGACTGTGCTGTAGGCTGACTGACTACATTTGTTTATTTACTTCTATACAGGACCGAAACTGTCACTGTTGTCAAGGCTACTGAGTATAAATGGAAATTTGAATCTTTAGGGAAAAAACCGCGTTTTTCAAGTATTCGTCAAATTTGTTCAGTATTTTAAAGATCTACTGACCTACTCGTGGCGGAGACAAATCCAACAAATCAAAAACCATGAAAATTGGTCCAGCAGATCTCGAGTTATAAGTGCTAAGACACTTTTACACAACTCTCTTTTATATATATAGATTATAATATTATATTAATATTATTATATTATTATTATAATAATACTAGCTGGCCCGGCAAACGTTGCATTGCCCTATCCATTATTTCTAGGTAAAAAATTGTTGAAAGCTATGTTGTTCAGGTTGGGATACACTCTGATTAATTTATTAATCGGATTTTCATTCATTGGTATGGTGCAAGAACAAATAATGCGGATGGTTTGCCAACACGTGAGCATGCCACGTACAATTAACCATGAGAAAAACTCGCATTTTCTAGATTGAGGCCACAAATAGTCAGTGGCCCTGTGATTGGCCCTGTGATTTGTTGATCGTAAAAATTGTATTTTAGAACCCCTAATAGGTTTACGACTTTTACAGCTACTCTCTACTAAATTAAGAGTGATAACTTTTTTTGTGTACCAAAAGCAAACAGAATGAAATGTATATAAAGTTAAAATGAAAACAATGATTGATTTTACCATTCAATTAATCATTTTGATATAAAAGTGATATCCGTCGTCTCCTTGCCAAAACATCAGCGGGTATTGTAAAGCGTCATATGAACGTTGCGTTTCAGATATTCTTTGTAGTTGCCCAGTACTGCGTCGTGTAAGCACAATATCGCGTGCTTCCAAGCTTTCACCAACAATCAGGATTGCCACTTCATCGATTGTTGGAGCATTAAATGTGCGTTCATGTATTCCAGCTGGTCTTTTATCTGCTCTGATTACTACTTTATAGTCATCTCTTGGCATGCGCTCTAAAGCAGTCTTGTACAGCTTGACCAATGCATGATGTTCGTGAAGCATTTGCTGCAAATCTTGGAGAATTGCTCTTTTCATAGCTGTGTTGATTTCTTGACGCCGGTCAAGTTGTTCTTCCATATTACCCATGAAGTATATTTGCAAGAATTTGTGCTGTGCATCTTCAATAGGTTGCAATGATCCAATGCAATAGCAAATCTGGCCTTGAATCTTTAAATTCAAAGCCATTGTTATAGTTAGATTTACAAACCCTTTTCACAGAAATCTAACAGACTACTTTCTAAATTTTTTTTACAATCATAGAAAATAAGAACGTAAATTACCTTAAATGTCGGATTATATCCGCGTTCTTCAATAATTTCCGCCCTAAATGAAGTCATTTGGAAACAGGCATTGTATTTTTGAGTGCTCGCTAGAAAATGTCGTGATTCTAGTGTTTCGCTATAAAGCAGGGAACGCAATGGCTCTGGTGGCGGGACCACTAATGGCAGCACAAACCGGGCGTTTCACCGCCACAATGCTGGCAAACAACGTCCATTGGACCAATGCAAACTAAACGATTCAGGCTGTAGTCAATGGTGCAATCATATCGAAACGCTGCTCGATTCAAATCAATCCTTGAACCATTTCTTATTACCATTTCACGGGCTGCCTCTCTTTGAGAAGCACGAATTAAGGCCCTTCTTTGCGCGGCGCCTTTCTCGGGCGATTTCTTGTTCTTCGTCAGATAATTGACTCGCGATATTCCGTTGCCTAATTGCATCATGGGTCCGCCGGTAAAGATTAGATCTTCTAGGATGCGGCATTTTTATACTCATTCACGAAAGTGAATCAGTATACTGGTTTTGTGCAATGTCCGTCTTGCTGTCCGTCTGTCCGTATGAACGCAATCTATTTCGGCGCTATTGAAGCTAGAGACTTGAAATTTGGAACACATACTCGTGTATATCTCCAATTTATAAAGTGTTAAAATTTTTCCGATCCGCCCACTAGGGGCGTGGCAAGTCGAAAAATGCATTTTCCGATATACCGGAATCTGCATCGACTACCCAAGATCACGAACTATGGCGGATATATCTCCGCCCATTGGGGGCGTGGCAAATAGGATAAAACTGTATCTTCAAGAGTTTTACAGCTAGAGCGCTGAAATTTTGCACGTCAGCTAATGCTATGATTCTATAAAGTCTGAAGATAAAATTATAAGCCTACGCCCATTAGGGGCGTGGCAAATCGGACCTGAAGATATAGTGATTTTTATACCCTGAACCCATTTTCAATGGGAAATCAGGGTATAATGGTTTTGTTGAAATGTATGTAACAGGGAGAAGGAGGCGTGGCAGACCCCACAAAGTATATATATTCTTGATCAGGGTGACGAGCTGAGTTGATTTGGCCCTGTCCGTCTGTCTGTCCGTCTGTCCGTCTGTCCGTATGTATGAACGCGTCGATTTCAGAAGATATAAGAGCTAGAGACTTCAAATTTTTTTTCAAATGCCCGTAATTACAGCGCGCATATGAAGTTTATCATTAAAAATCGATAACTCATCTCGATCTTTTTTTATCGATAAAAAACCTTATCGAAACCCAGTTATAAAATTATATCTTCTACACCTTTATTGCTAGAGTCTCCAAATTTTTAATGTATGCTTATATGCAATTTATACAATTTCGGTTTTTGTTAAAATTTACCCCCCACCTCTAAATTCACCCCCTCACCCTCGCTTTTGTAAAAAGCGTATTTCAAATACTAGAGACTTGTGCTTTGGCAATTACATGCATATTCATGTTATAATCATAATCTAAAAGTTTCATGAAGATCGTACGTCCATAAAAAAGTTATTAAACAATTAAGTTCTCATAGTAAGCGCTCACTGCCGCCCATGCGTGTTTATGCTTGGGTGTGTATATGTATGTAATTGTTTGTGTATGTGTGTGTGTGTGTGAGTGTGTGTATGTGTGTATGTATGTGTGTATGTATGCCTGTGTGTGCGTGCGTGTGTGTGTGTGTGTGTGCGTGTTTCTTGTGTAAGCTGAAAGACGCGAAAAATGATTGAAATAGCTATTACTCCAAGGGTTCAGGGGATCTCGTAGTCGAGTAGTCTCGACTAGAGCTTTCTTACTTGTTTATATTCTGTTATATTTTGGACACTATTGATGCTAGAGACCTCAAATTTTGTATATATACTCGGGCTGATCACCCAAGACCAAAAAGCTTTGTCGGATATATGTACGCCCACAGGGGGCGTAGCAAACCGCAAAAGTTTATATCTCCTAAAGTATAATAGCTAGAAGCTTTAAATTTGGATAGTTGAGTTACTGGTAGCCTCCTCTATCGATGCCTTGAAAAATAATTTTTACGTCTCTTTAGGGGCGTGGCATATCAAAAAATACCCTGTAATTTTCACATTTTTTGAGCGTAAGAATTCAAAACTTGCATTTAGGTTACCGGTTGCTCGTTCTAAGAACTGGCTAAAAATGAGAAGCTTACGCCCAGTAGGTGCGT